TTCTAACTAACCAAGTCCAGTGGATGGAATTGACACTGACATTTCATACTACTGGCTAACACTGACTCCTTCACTCTTCCTACCCTTTGGGGACAGAGCCTTCTTTTGTTAATGGTGTTAATTATGTCTTTCTTTATTACCTGCTCTTTCTCTTCCCTTTCATTTTTTATGACTCCAAAATTCATAGATTGTTATTGTCTCAATTATATCTACCATAGGAAATCTGTGTGTAACACACACACACACACACACACACACACACACACACACACACACATCTTTATATATCATTTGCAAACAATTATTACAAAAGTGTTAGCATTAGCTCACAACTTCCATATATACAACTTCTTGGATTTGCACAATTGGAGGCCCAGTAGGCATTTCAAAACAAGATGTCAAAATTCAGCTCCTACCACAAAGCCCTGTTCTCCTCTACCAGCTAATTACCTCATTATCAGAGCCAAAGATATGGAAGCTGTTCCAGGTGCATTGCTTGTCCCCTACTGCAACAGACAACAAATTGCGTGTTCTACCTTCCAATTACTGCTGTTCTTTATTTGTATTGCTCAAGTCTCAAAATGCAGTTTGATCCCTCCTGAAGGGATGCTATAGAATCCTGGAAGTCATTCCACTCAATGGCTTTCATTTCCATACTCTATCCCAGTGGGCACAGCATCCCACATATCTAGCCTATGCTATTTCCTTTTTCACATACGAAGGGCCCCTTCATTAAGACAGAAATTCAACTCTATACTCTATACTCTATACTATTCAACTATACTATTCAACTCTATACTCTATAAAGTATCTTGTGCCACATACGTAGGCACAAGCTACTTTAAAAATCAGGTTCCCAGATACTATCCCAAATCAACTTAAGAGAATGCTTGGTGGGCTAACTCCAGAAACATGGTGGGTATGTTTCCAAACTTCTAGAAGTTCTTATGACACATGTGTAGCTTGCAATGGAGCCATATTTATAATAGGTATTTCCTGTAAAATATCATCTCTTCTCTGGGAATTCCTAGTGCAAGCACTCCTCTTCAGTTTCCTGTGCCCAGAAGGACTCGTGCAGCACGCACATTGCTGGCCATTGTTCAGGTAGTCCATGTGTAGGCGTCTAGACCCGAGAAACACAAACATAGCTCCTTTCGTAGAGACTTCATGAGGGAAACAAAAGAACTGTATTTACAGATTGCCACACGGCTCTTGTCTGCTGTATTCTGCTTTGTGCATTGGAGAGGTAGAGTAAGCGATTCTGTGTAATGAGAAGAACAGAAGTCACAAAAGGAATAACGAAACTGACTCTCTGATGCTATCCTTGTCCTTGGTACTAGTCTATCACTCTTTTTATTTGTTTACTTTTGCAGTTCTGGGACTGAGCCCAGCATTGCACGCATGATGGGCAGACACTCTATCACAGTGCTATATTGCCAGCCCCAGACTATTCTTGAAGCCAAGCTGTAGCCCTGAATTTGCAGGCCAGGAAATTATTACATGTTTTTAAGGAAGTTATATTCTTGCCTGAGATCCAAAATTAAGGGGATTAATAAACACCCAGTGAATGCCTGCACTCAACTTTTCTACCGCTGTCTGCAACATTTTTCTCCTACCATACCTCCACTGTACTTCACAGCTTGTACTGCCCATTTGTCCCTGGTGCCTGTTGTTTCTTGCCTATCTTTATATACTTTAGCAGGTACAGTTTCCTCTTTGTGTTAGCTTCCTCATCTCTGAAGATTCATTTCAAATTCTATTTCCCTTGAACCCCTCTCCAGGCTTTAGAGTAGAAATGTATTCTCCTGTGTCTTTTCTTTTCTTTTTCCTTTTTGAAACATCGTTACTCTGTGAAGTTTTTGGAGCCTGTCCTGGTACTCCCTCTGTAGACCAGGCTGACCTCTGCCTCACAAGGGCTGGGATTAAAGGTGTTCACCACCACCGCCCAGTTTCCCCTGTGTCTTAAAGCAGCTTGTGTTGAGAACTGGTGTGGCTTTTGTTGAGTGCTTTTTGTATTCCCCCCTGAACCTCAAGATGAAGGGTAAGAGCTATTATTTTAGTATCTTTGGTTCTCTATCTTCCAATAGTGGTAAACATAAAATGACCTCCTTAATGTCTGTGATATTTAAGACTGTACTAATCGACCAATTAATCAATCACCTGTTAATTACGAATTAATCAGAATCTGTAAGACAGAGGAAATGACAGAAAGGTGACTGTCTATAGCTTATGATGATTCAGCCTCTGACTTGCAAAGAAAAGCCACTTGTGATGGGACTGCTGCTGTCAACTCCACAGTGCATCAGGTGGATGGCTGTTATGCTTCTTTTATTTTTTCCCAATACAAAGAGAAGAAAGAAGGTCATGTGGGGAAGCCTCTTATCAACCTGGCTGAAAGAGAGTCTGCTCAATATTGCTTGACATATCTTCTCAGCAGGAGGTTCTTGGAGCTAGGAAGGTGCTGCATCTTCCTCATAGTGCACACTACTATTGCTAAATGTACAGCAAACACCAAACAAGCTGTATTTGTCATCCAGCCCACTTAGTGTGTAGTATTGCCTTTCCTTTACCTCAAGTCAATGTTCTTATCCAGATTATAGAGTATGTACATCACAGTTACAGGGCAATCTATCAGGTAACTGGGTTCACAGCCCACTCAGTCACTCACTGATTAAGATTCAAATTGACATAGTCTTTCTTCCCACACCCCATCTCTCTCTTTCTTTTCAGTAGAGCAAGAATGTGGAAAATAGTTTATAAGCTCAGTCCCTGGCTCACAGGAGATGAAAATGTGATCCTTTGCTAGCTCAGACAAAATCCTCCATGCTACATTAGGCTTGATAGCAAATTTTGTACTTGCAGGCTTTTATCAAAACTATATCTGAAATCTTAATAATGCAGGAAGGTGGATAAAGTCTCTCCTCTGTTCAGGTTTACATCAACAGAAACAGAACTAATTCATGATTCAAAACTCAGCAATTTTGGCAGGATCTACAGTAGCATTCAGAAAGTCCTGAAGATGATGGAAAGAACCTGGGCACATGCCAGCACATAGGCACATGCACACAAACATGCACACACATGCACATGCCAGCACTTGCATGTATACACACACACACACACACACTCCTGAATGAAAATCTTAATGCTAAAATTAAAGATTATATTTGTGAATAGCAAGAACTACCCTGAATTTTCAATATCAGCCACCCTTAAAGAGCATAAAGTAGCGGCTAGAAAGATGGCTCAGTTGGTAAAGTGCTTTGCCTTGCAGCAAATTTGATTACCAATACTCAAGTTAAAAAAGAAAAAGCTGTTTATGATAACATATACCTAGAACCCCAGTGATGTGAAAACAGACACAGGAGGATCCCTTGGCTTGCTGGCAGGATAGTCTAGATGAATTCATGAGCTCCAGAATCAGTGAGAAATCCTGTCTCATAAAACATCAGCCGGAGCTCAAAATACATGCCAGTGACAGAAAGCCTGCCTAGTATACATGGACCCCTAGGTTCAATTCCCCAGGCCCCCAAAATAAAGCAAAACAAAACAAGGTGGATAGCTGATAAGGAAGACACCCAACAGCACTCTGATCTCCACCTACACATCTGCACTCACATGCAAAATCACTTATATACACAGGTGCAAACCCACTTAAGCACACATCTGCAAACTAATTTATTCACACACACACACACACACACACACACACACACACACACACAGGATATAAACTATATTAACCAAAATATAAAATTAGAGCCTTCTCTTCTCTATGCATTTCTCTGGCCTCTTGCAGACACATGTAGTACAGGATAAGGAGACTACCAGATTTATATGTAAGCTAAAAAGAAAAATTTACCCTTCTGTTCAAATCTACAATTTTCTCTTCACTCGCTATGAAACTTGAAATTTTTTTAAAAAAATGATTTTAGCTTTATGTGTTCTTCTTTTCAAAATGCAATGAATAAAATCCATTCTGTTAAACGTACTGGTTGCTTTTGAGGATCAAAATCAATAAGATTGATTCCTCTACCCCAGCTGCCAGTATTCTGGCTACACATAATAGCACTATGGGGTGTGGTGTTTTGTTGTTCCAAATATTTTTGACTTCTATTCAGGAAAGGATTATGTATTTGGTGCATTGACATCAGTACTGGTCATCTGACTTGTGACCAACATAAAAAGGAGTAGAAATATCATCACCAGTTACTACAAAATGGAAGAGTTTGGAGCAGTCCTGTGGGTCTTCTTTTCTCTCTGGGACAATGTCTTAACTCTAACCCATCCCTTCAAGCTTCAGGCCAGAAATGAAATCAATTGAAGTTTGTATGTGTCTCTCTATATGTGAACATGCTTGAAATAAATCCATATCTATTGTCTGTCACTGAGATATTGAAATCAGTTGTTACTGCAGCAAAATGTAGCCAAAGCTGACTGATACACATGAGAAACTGTAAACCAACTTCGATTTTCACTTAAGTATCCCTCAAGATTAACTGGTCCAGTTTCCTTGGAAAATACACTCATCCCAAAAATAGTTACTAGACTCTTAATACAACAGGCATTTTCTCATGTTGCATGTTAAATAAATAATTATTTTAAGCCACATATAACTATCTTTATGATATCATAATATAATTTGATTATAGGATAAAGAAGACAAATAACTTGAAATAATTTGATAAGCACAAACCAGTAAGTAAAATGTTTTGAAGTTTTCAAGAAAATTAATGGCATGCATATAAAAAATGTTTCATAAAATAAATGTATATCAGTTGGTACTAATTTACTCAATTAGTATAATTTCGTGAAATTGTCTTTTTGGGTAAGATATTAGGCTCAGGGTTGTCTGAATATATAACATCTAGAAGGCATTAATATTTGAAAATGGAAACATCAGTGGTGTGTTCAGAAGCAACATATCCCAAAGCTTGATTGTAGCACCCTTAACTTTTCTGTATCAAGTTTTTTTTTGTTAATATTTTTATTATTCTTCCGGTCCCAGGCGCTTTGGGAGCCGCCGGATACCGTTCAGACATGGCCAAGTCCAAGAACCACACCACACAAAACCAGTCCAGGAATTGGCACAGAAATGGCATCAAGAAACCCCAATCACAAAGATACAAATATCTTAAGGGGGTCGACCCCAAGTTCCTGAGGAACATGCACTTTGTCAAGAAACACAACAAGCAAGGCCTGAAGAAGATGCAGGCAAACAATGCAAAGGCCATGAGTGCTTGCGCAGAGGCCATCAAGGACCTTGTAAAGCCCAAGGTGGTGAAGCCCAAGATGCCGAAGGGCCCCAGCCGCAAACTCAGCCGCCTTGCTTTCATCGCTCACCCCAAACTTGGGAAGCGGATTAGAAGCTACATGGCCACGGGTCGCAGGCTCTGCCAACCAAAGCCCAAGGTTCAAACCAAGGCAGAGGCCTCGGCTCCAGCTAAGCCCCAGCTTCGGCTCCAGCTCAGGCTCCCAAAGGTGCCCAGGCCCTTGTGAATGCCCCATAGAAAAGGTTTCTTCCACTGTGAAGACAGATGGACTGGTGTGACACACCTACACACTATCTGCAGGTGATCATGCCCTGTGCTGTTTTTACAAATAAACTTGAGGCAAGACCTGTTAAAAAATATTTTTATTATTTATGTGTATATGTGTGTCTGCGCTTGAGTATGTACTCCTGTGTGCAGGCACCAGTAGAGGTCAGGAGAGGGTATCAGATACTCTGAAACTGAAATTGTAAATGGTGATGAGCCACCTGAAATGGATGCTAGAAATTGAACTAGGTTGTCTGCAAGAGTAGCATGCCCTATTTATTTCTTTTATTTTCATTCCTTTGTTCTTTTCAAGACAGGGTTTCTCTGTGTAGCCCTGGCTATCCTGGAACTCACTCTGTATTCCAGGGTTGCCTAGAACTCACAGAGCTCCACCTGCCTCAGCCTCCAGAGTCCTAGGATTAAAGGTGTGAGCCACCACCACCTGGCAACAGACGCACTCTTAGTCACCAAGCAATTAAATCAAATATTTTCTCAAAATGCAGAAGGTTCCAGACCCACCAGAGCTGTACTTATAGACCCAGATAGATGAGGTCACTTTTCTGCTTCATGCTGATAAGGCTTAGTTTGTCTGTTTACCAAATCTAGAAATAACAAATCCATTACTATAGAAGAAGTTTAACATAAGGGAGTGGAATAGTAATATTTCGAGTATTATATTTTAGTTATTTATACCATATGTATATGGAGGACTCCTCTGATTAGATGCCTTCTTGTCACAGACCTTTATTTTTTAAAAATCTCAGCAGCCTTCCTTGCTCTGCCAACAACCAATTCATCAGACCCAGAAAACTGTCAAAATGATGGCACTGTCCATGCAGCCACACATATCAATTTCTCTAAAGAATTCCTGGTTTAACTAAATGTGGCAATGTTCATTTCCTTCACTTGGACAAAGTCCTCATCTTAGCTAAAAGAGGCCATGACAGAGCCCATAAGCCTACACCACCATGCCTACAGCAGTCATTCACAAGGAATGCTCTACAAAGACAATCCGCCACTGCAGATTAGTGTGCTAACAGGCTACCAAGAATAGCTTCGATTTTACTCACAAATCCAATTTCAAGATGGAGAGAATCTAATGCAGCATCACCAAGCTACCCTGCTATAGTCATGGAAGAAGAATACCTGTTCCCTGGGGAATGTTTGTAAAGTAGAATAGCCCCGGGCAAAGAGTGAGTTGGAAAGTCAGTCCACAGAAAGGCTAATATATTATTAGACAAAAATCTTCAAGTGAAGTTCAAATGTTGTACAGTGAATAGTTTTGTACCCTAGAAGTCATATATTGAAACCAGTCACCAATGTGCCAGTATCAGAAAATGTACTTGGGGGGTTAGAGTGTGGGGATTAGGTTCAGAATACAGAACTTCCATCAGTAGGATTAGTATCCACTTGTAAGATGCCCCCAGAAAACTTTCTACTATGTACAGACACAAGAAGTCTCTCTATGAAAAACCAGTCCTTAACCAGACTCCCAATTAGTGAAGTCTTTGATCATAAATTGCCAGGTCTCCATATATTCAGACATAATTGTTTGCTATTTACACAGTCTAGTCCATAATATTCTGTTACAGCAGCCTGTACAGATTAAGATGACAAGCTTGTCCTCAGGAGCAGACATCTATGTGACTCACCTCTGTTTTCAGTGTGCATCCCACTCATACTTCCTCAGAAAAATGACTAACCATCAACTGAGTGACTGGCCAAGTGAACAACACAACATATTGGAACACAGTGATTTGCTTTCAGCAGCTCCATGTAAAACCAAGCAACTGAATCATTTGACAGAAGGCTAAATGATAGGAGTATAGTCTATAGTCACTTGAAAGGGCAAACTTCTTAATAGTAGTAAAAATTTCCTTCTGTTTGTAGCCGCCATGCAAGGCCTCCCTGACACACACTTCTCCTATCAAGCTATTATGCATCTTCTCTCCATCTCTGGGTCGCCAAGAACTTTCCACACCATGTCAAGAGCAAAGACTTCTAAAGTCTGCTACTCAACCCACTTATTTTGTTGTGAAGACAATTCAGTCGGAGAAAGTCAAATTAAAATAAAAGATAGGATTGCTAGAGTAGATAGAATATTAATTTTACACATAGTAAACATTCCAGTCTGCATGTACAGGTGGCTTGCATGCACAGATGTACATGTATATGTGCTTGTCTGTCCTGTTAAAATTAAAATATGGTTATTTATGTGAGTAGATATAAAATATTTGAAAATCATTAGTATAGACTAAAAGAAAAACTAGGCAGACCTGATGAATACATACATGTCTCCCACTTGTTAGCTATTCTACTGTGAACAAATGACCCTACCATTTAGAGTATTAGGTTTTTAAATCTATAAAACCAAATTATATTGGTTAAAATTTCAATGAAATAATGTAATGATAATGTTTATTTCGAATTGGAAATTTTTACAAAAAAATTTCTCCCTTCCTCTTTTATCTTTTTGGTTAATATAGTAATATCTTAGAATAATATAACCTTCCCTACCTCCTAATTATATTGGAATCCATCAGATTTCCCCTACTGAAATTATACTCCTTAAGATCAAGGAAGAAAAAATCAGTTACTTGCTCACTGAATGCTTATTGGAACTCTTTTTTTAGCCAGTGGGACTAAATCTCTAAACAGTAGCAATGAGTAACCCGGGGCCTCATGAAGCTTACATTCCATATGAAGAGGGCCAATAAAATCAAATGAACCAGGACCAAGAGCTGAAGTGTTTAGGAAAATATTAACATATGGATTTGTGAGACTAAGTGTTATGTGGAGAGAGATGAAACTTTATGCCGGAAGCTTAAAGGTATCCTTCTGGTATAGTTATGGACAGATGTGCCCCAAATAGTTAGTGGCATGATAAATAAGTGCTTAAGAAGTTAAGATACACAAAACAAATGGGGGGCCAAACAAGTAGCCGTTATAATTAAGTGCTGAAATAGAATAGAACATACTTTTAATTCTTTCAGTTTCTGCAAAGTGACTGAAAATCTTGAGCCTGGGGACAGGGAGGGCCTCTAGATTTTGCAGAAGGCATGCTTTGAACTGGGCTTGTTGAAACAGGCTGTAAAATCCAGAACAGCCAGTGACTGCCATGTAGTCTCTGCAGTTCTGTTTCATGTTACTTGCCAGTACAGACATGCCCCTGGAGGCTACATCTTTAGTGGCCAAATGACCTGTCAAGGCTGATGTTTCAAATTTGAAACAGCTTCCAATAGGCCAGATGGAGTTCTTTGGAAAAACAGTGGAGGTTCCCAATTCAAAAAAGTTAAAAAAAAAATTAAAAAGCAGACCCACAGAGATACAGCATAGCTCAACCCAGAACAGGGTGAGATTTCAAAGGTCTCCAGTTCAGAGGGCTGTGAATAGTGATGTCATTTATTCTGAGTTTATCAGATACTCTGGGGCTATCTAGATTGAAGAGGTGAAGAAGATAATGAACATTTCTCAGGTGCACATGCCTTTTCTATTTCTAGTGATGTTGGATCCCAACAAACCCATTCTAATTTGAAAACATCATAATTGAAATGAATTTCATATATCAAACATATCATCACTTACCGTGGCCTGTGTTGTGTGTTCCCAATAGTACAGCAGCATACAGTTGGTCAAAATGAGTTAATATACACCCTATTACTCAAAAAAGTGCTGAGTGTTGTGTAACTTACTAAATACTGTAGTGAAAATAAAATCATATGGTTGTACAGTAAAGTTTTATAGTGTTAAAAAAGTATGAAACTCTTGAGTGGTTCCATCATAAATCAAGAACTCTGTTCTTGTCCTAATGGCATCTTGGGGGGCCACCCCAATTCCAAGACAACATTAGTGGGAGGTATGTATAAAAATGACCACTCACTATTCTCTAACACTAATGCTTTTAGGTACCATACTGGCTTTCTCCAAACCATCTTGCCATTACATGCACTTGATAAGAATTCAACATCACCTGTATAACTTCATAAGCCTGGCTCTTCAATGACTCCTACATCTACTGTTTGATATTTTCTGATTCCCCTGCAAGATGCTGCTCATAAGGACCTTGGATACCTCATGTGGAAGGCAAGGGCCTGTCCTGAAAACTCTATTTCTGGATGAGCCCTAAAGCAGAGGCAGGCATCACTGACAATCATAGTACCACCATGAAGTGACACTGGTGGCTTATTATCTAGTGCTTACCACAAAGATTTGGTGATTTATTTGTTATGCAAACTACTGTTTCTTAGATTTTTAATTAGTGTCATGAATAGGTGACTGGCATGATTAAACCAAAAATAGGTTGCTTGGTAGTGACCTAAATGGATTAGAGAGATGGAGAACCCTACTATAAAATATCAAAATATTTGGTAAAATGTCACGACAAATCAAAGTAGGTGTCCACTGAACCTGAGAGGGAATGGAGAGAGAAGCACAACCATTGACTGTTCCTGTTTTCACTAGCTGTTGCAAAAACTAAGTGAGCTCAAAGAACATGTTTTACTTTTCAAGGAAATGAGGAAGAAGATAAAACCAGCAGTCTGAGGCCTCGCCAAATAGGAAAAGTTGGCTGAGCCAACGCCTCACCCATCAAAGATCACATAGAACATCTCTAAGCAGATAGAACCATTAATAATTCTCAGCTGGACAAGAGGCTAACTTTTGGGGAAGTTACAAAATCATAGCCAGTACTTTCCTTTCCAAGGACTTCCTTGAGATAGCCTCAGTGTTGCCACACTGAGCATCATGAGAGCATAGAAAAGGAGGAACAAGTAAGCCTCAAAGCTGGTTTACTTTCTTTGGTGTTTGACTCATGGCAAATGATGCTTGTGCAGTGTTTGAAAGACTTTGTAACCAAAATTATGACTTAACTTTCAAAGTGTTAATGACATACTCTAACTTGAAAAAGCAGAGTGGGTTGCATATCTTATTCAGTTCCAAGGGAAATTTGATCAACAACAACCA